GCAGCCTTGCTTCTGTCAGTCTGCCCCAGGGCAGCTGTAGCTACAACCGTAGCTGCCTCCACCAGTGTGTGAATGTGAGAGTGAATGAATAGTGGCGTTGTAAAGCGCTATATAAATTCAATCCATTATTAATTTTTTGTTTATGTCTAGACACTTCCAAAAGGTTGTGATTTTGTGGTTTTTTTGGACACTGCAGCCAGATGTAATGAGCACAGGGTGGAGCTGAAGGAGAAACCGAGGCTCATATGGCCAATTAGTTAAGCCACAGTGAAGCATGTCCTGTATTTCACTCTGATGGGGCCATAATTTACAAAATGAACAACATGTTGTTTTTAATAAGAACTCAAACTTGAGAATGAGACCGTAAACATCAGGAAACTGTTTAATGAGGTCACAGTCCAAGTAGGGTCATTTTCTCAACTTCTATACAGTCAGACTTCTAGAGGAGTCGCCCCCTGCTGGTCTGATAGAGAATTCATGTTTACGGCGCTTCTGCATTGGCATCACTTTTCAGAAGTCTACATCCACCTTTTATACGTTGCCTTTGGCTGACATGAAAAAACAACCTGTTTACAAACAATCACAAAGGTTTAAATAATTCACATCTAATAAAATAAATGCAGACAGATGCCAACACGATGCAATCAGTCTGAGTGAGTCTGTGTCGATAAGTGCAGCTCGTCTGCGCTGCCTCTCTTTGCAACAGGGACTCGACTCCACTGGTTGTTATACAGAAATAGATCTGATGGTTTTATTTTTTATAAGGATAAAGTTGCCGAGCAACTTTGTCCTGCAAAAACGAGATCTCAAATGTGGAGGAATTTCTGATTTCCTGTTTCAGATCTGTGAGGTTCTGACTCGACGAGTGTAAGTAGTTTATGTGTAAATGTGTATTTAATGTTAAATTCATGTCTATGTAGATTTATGATTTCTGCAAAGCAGTGCAAACATGTAACTGTCATCTTGACCCATTCAGCTACAAATTGGTAGCAGATTCATAGCTGATGCACTTATTTCTATTGTTATTATTATTATTATTTGTACTAGTTGCAGTAGTAATATTATTAGTATTAGTATTATTGCTCTGTTGCCGACCAAAGTCACACCTGCTCCTGTGTTTGAAGCAAACATGTCAAAGGCAACAAAACTGCAAGTTTACTGCACAATAATTCTGGTTGTGCTTTCATCTCCAACCACTGTTCTTTCTTTAGCATGAGCAGTTTTGATGTTCCTTTCTTTTATTCATTACTGGTGGATGTTTAATATTTATAAGAGCTCTTTTAAAATAAAGCATCTACAGTAAATCTGTTCATAAACACTTTAGATTTTCACCTTAAACCTCTTGTAACATGTTCAGTTCGCTGTGTGTTACTATAAAGACAAAGCTGCTTTTCAGTGATTCAGAAATGAAAAATGTTTGATTTTACTTTTCAGAAATGTCCAAGAAATCAGACCTCATCTAGTTTAAATATTTGAATCCATGTACAAATATAGCCTGGCATCTAGCACCGCACAGACCACCTCAGACTCTGTCAGCACCAGGACTAAATGTAAAAAACTCCTCATATATTTGAACTTACTGACTTCACTCAGCTTTATTTACCCAGAACTTTAACAGCCACTGACATTTAATCATCAGATCAGTGGAGTCCACACACAAATGAAATTATGTGATGTAAACATGTAATAACACAAGTTTGCATTTTACTCCCAGAAGACATTTTGTCTCATTGGTAGTTTTAATAAATAGTACTTGTTGTTGAAAGCATTATTTTATCCATGCAGACTCTTTAAACTACAGCTCCTCATGTGATTCAGTAGACACCAGATCTACCACTTTCTTCCTTTTTCCACCCTGCAGTGAAATCAGAGGTGCAGCAGGGCAGCTGTGAGCGAGCTGCTCACATGAGTTCAGGAAGAACCGGGAATGATTTCAGGTTCTGAGATTAGAAGCGATGCTGTGAGGTGAACCCTGACACCCAACCCACTGCTGACTTTGCCCTTTCCCACGGCACACACACACATTTTGCTGTGATAAACACACTCTCTTGATGGCTCTCTGTGGGAGAGTTAGTTCACATGACCACCGGGGTGCTGCTCCACCTGACCGAACTAAAGGGTCAAATAAATGTCTGTGACCGAGCTAAAGGGCCATGTTATTGGTCAATCATGTGTGTGCACGTGAGTGAGCGTGTGCTTGAGATGATGTGTTTCTATTCTCTTCTTCTCAGCAGTGAGCTGCTGCAGAGTAACCGCCTTTTAATTAACTCTGACTTCTGACATAGTGAAATAACAGTGCGTGTTATTGGACATCAACAGAAAAATGTAAGATGTAACTGTGGATTTTACAAAAACTGCTCCTTTAGTGCCTGGACAGGTCACATGAGATTAAACGAAGATATAAAACAAGACACATATCTGATTTCATATTTGCTATTTTTAACTTGCTCTTTAAAGGTGATCTGTAAAGTGTTCCTTTATTGTCATTTTCACCTCAAATTTATTTTAAAAAGATCTAGTTGGTTGTTGGCTTCATGGACAAAAGCAGCCTGTATAACATGGGGACATAAACACTACGTATCGAACAAATTTTCACACTTAACTGTCAGCACGCCTACATCACTGAGGGCCATGTGCATGTGAGTGAACTGGACCTTTAGCTTTCAGCAGCTGGAGTTCTGGAGCCAGGCTGCGTCCTTCGATGTTATTTCTATATCACATTATATCATTAAACAATAATATAAGGTTCAATTTTGTTTGTTTCTATAATGATCTAACCATCTTCACCACTACCTCCCAGTGTGATCAACACTACACGCACACACACTGCATACAGCAGCGAGCACGCCAACAACTCGTGCAATTAAAGAACTTCACAGACAGTATGATCGGTTTAGCTCAGGATATGTGAGCAAAGGTGACACAAATGTGCGTTTTCTTTTACATAAAACAAATACAGGCCACATTTTCACAGGTAAATACAACAGAATACAATCCCAACATATTCACAGTTTTATAACTTATAACTTTTACAGTTTTAGAAATTGTCAAATTTCCATTCATGTGAGAACTATGTAGAAACTCGCAAAAACAAGTACATGAAAATGTTTTTTCGTTCGTTTGTTAATGTTTAAAACTGTCTGTCAGGGAGCGAAATAGAAGAAAAACAATGGACAAGGACATCTGCAGTCAGCACAGGTATCGAATAAAGGCAAACACAGCTGAGGTCTGTTCAAATCTTTTAAAGAACCAACAACAACAAAAGAGAACTCAGGAAGAGCAACCCTGCACCAGGCAGCACGATGCGGTAAACCCCACTAGAGGGCGCCAGAGAACAACCAATAAAGTAGCATCATACTCATAATCAACACAACTCTTAATAGCCATACATGTAGTTTCTACACAGCAGAGTAACAAACTAACTGAACTAAATTGACACTCAGCACAAAGATTAACAACTAGAAATATTCTAACAGTGTTTTAAGGTTTTTATGTGAAGCAGCTTTGCAGATAAACTCGAGTCCTCTCCTGCACCTCCGACCGAGAGCCGCCAGTCTCCGGTGGCGTACAAGTGCTCTAGGAAAAGTATGTGCACCTGCTGTAAAAGTGTGTAAAATATGTCATAAAAGCGTTTTTGTTCGTATGTTACACTTCAAATATCTGATTCATATAAAACTCATTTTTGTACGCTTTTTTAAATAAAGCTTTGTCCAATGTACATGTCACGTGTTTTATTCTTTGGCCTTCGGAAACTGTAATAATTCATTTTGATACATAAAATATTCAAACTTTTTTGAGTATTTGAATAAAAAGATGCATCAAAAATCTTAAGCACTGATGAGCACAGATGGCTGAGAAGTGTTTGATGAAAAACGTTTTTTCTTCTATGAGGCTGGATTTTCAGGTTCTGAGGAACCAAATGTGTAAATAATGAATTGTATGAATAAATAAAGGAGGCTAAATAGCAAGCAGTGCTAATGCGGAACTGTGTTAGTTTGCTGCTTCAATGAAAGCAGAAGGATAAATTTTAAAATACACCTTTGCCATCCTGTGATCTCATTTGGAAGAAAGAAGAAACTTTAGGTTAGACTCTGTGTTAAATCAGGTCTCAGCTCTGCTCTGTTTTGGTCATACAAACGGAGTTTTTAGTGTTGCAATGTTACATTTAAAATTTTAACCTTGATAAAGTAAAGAGTTCAGAAATATTTGCAAAAGCACTAATGGCATTTTTCTTAAAATGCAGTATTTAGAATTAACAGGTGTAATAAAATTAGTGACAGTAATAATTCTTTAATGATTCTGAATGAGAGAACTGCAATGATGTTATTAACAGGAACTCGTTGGGGTCAACATGGACAGGACGATAGTTAAAAGCAGGATGTTGTGATCTCAGCGGGAGCCGAGAGGGAGGAAGTGGAGTTTGTATCAGGCCTTTCTTTTTTGTTTGTGCGCATGATATTTATGAATCTTTATAGAAACAGATTTGCAATAAATACACTGCAATCAAAACATGACTCTTTTCTGCCATACTGCTCCTTTTTCTTTCAACTTCATCACTTTTAGCGCTCCTTAAGTTTACTGCAGATCACCTCACGCTGTCAGTCTGAAACACACAGTCGCTGTTTTATGGTAAACCCAGTATCTCCGTTCACTGACGCGAACAGACACACACTGTGTACGCTGTGACTGCAGCTGCCGAACAAAGCTGCATCATAATGTTAATATCACAGAATCATCTGTGTTTTCCTTAGTTTTTGATCTCTCTCTCTCTCAGACACTCTCTCACACACACAAACAATTTTGGGAAATTGGGAACTGCTCCTAAAGATAACGAACCTTTTTTTCTTCTTTATAAAAAAAACAAACCCAAAACAAAACTGTTTATTTCTGCTGCAGTTAGACATTTTAATATGCCAGTGTTAAGGCTAAAATGCGCTGATGCTGTGACAGTTTTCTCCGGAAGTGCTCTTGGGCTGCTTTCGCACACTAGAAACCGAAAGTGTTCAAAACTGCGTCAGTGCGCTGAGAGGAGTGGCTGTGAGTCCCGTTATTTTCGAGAGATACTGTATTCACAATCTTGGGAGATTTCTGCAGACATGGAGCTTCTATCACTTCTCTTTATGAGCTCCTGCTTCCTGACTTTGTCCGGACTGACGTTTGGTGATCAATCCGGTAAGAAAATCGTTAATTTATTATTTATTTACTGATCGTAGGCGCACGCGCAGTTATGGAACAATGGAGTGTCTGTGAACACGCAGCAGCGTGGGGCCTTAAGGTTGTTCAGGCTGATGGTTTCGTGGGTGGATGCCTGTACCATCCGTACCCATCACTTTATCTTTTAACGCAGCTGTCCGCATTGTGTTTTGCGTTATGTGAGTATACTGAGTATTACGGTAAACAAGACAAACCGAAGTCAACATTTTCAGGCGAACGCGTTTTCAACATCATGATTATTTATGGTCATTTATTAGAGAAACTCAGTTTCATTTGGAGATGGCTTTAACTTTAGGTGTGGCCTCATCGACAGCGGTCTGCGCGCTGCTTCCTGAAATACAGATCCTTTTTCTTTCCTGTTGAGACACAAACTGTCTAACGTTTGCTTCTGAATATGAAATTTAAGTGCGTGTCCGCTACATGAAGCTTTAAAGACACTATAGCTTTACGTTATACTGACCAACAAAATGAAAACTCAAGACTCACAAAAACTGAAAGAGCTGACACACACACACAGCATAGCTCTTGTTTTTTTTCCTCTCACACTGAAAAAAAGGGATTGGCCAGCTCTTGGATTTACGTAAGCATCTTGCGTGTATTTAACACAATTGCCTCATGCTTTAAAGTTAAGTGTAACTACATAGTGTAGAAACTACATGATATGCAGAGAGGCTAGATTAAATTGTTCATATCATGTTCAAGTGAAGTAAGTCAATATTATATCAATGTTAAATCCCGCGACACTGCACGGGTTTCAGACTCGCGCTCTTTAGATCGTGGTTTCAGGAAGGCATCCATCTCAGTCAAGTGGAGCAGCCACCTCTACTTTTTTTAGTATACCAAAAAAAGTAAATTGAGTGGTTGTTACATTAAAAAAGTCTAACTTGTAATTTGAACACAATAATTTCATGTTTCTATGAACTTAATTAAATCATGAAGAATCTGTACGAAATTCAACAACTTAATTTGTTCTTGTTGAGACGACATGATACAATCTAGTAAGAGTGCTTAGTTGCTGAACTCATGAAATTCACAAGATCGCACAAGATTTCAAACTGCAGGAAAATCACTGGAGTTATAAGAGGCAGACAACTACACGCACACACACACCACGTGCATGCTGCTATTTATTGTGTATTATTACAAAAACAAAAAAATTCTGCATCAAATACAGGAAATCACATTTCCTAGATTGTTGGCATGGTGGTTAGTGCTGTTGCTTCACAGTAAGAAGGTCCTGTGTTCAAATCCACATTCTGGCTATAGAAATAACAAAAAGTTTAATGAACTAGATTTGCATTCTTCAGTTCAATTAAATGTAATTATTTTAAATCAACAACTCTAAAACCGATGCCTAGTGCGCATGCTCAAACTTCCCAGAAGTGAAAAGGCGGGAACGCGGAGAAAGTTATGTGTTCAGTGAACTGCCATTTCCCCCTGCGGAATCTTCCACAATACAGGTAAGTAATAAATAACTCAAAATATCTTAGTCAAACGAAGTTGTTCTGTCCGTTAATTGTTTAACAATGTTTTTAATTCCAAATGTGTAAGTTGTCATTAGACAGCGGGAGTGGAGCAAATGCAGTGAAAATCTGGTATTAGACGGTGCCAATCGGTACCGTCTAATACCTGATTTCTAATCCGCTCTGGGTATATTTATACTATTATTAGCATTTCCACTTCATTGTTTTTCTTTTTCTTTTTTTTACCTGTTTTTGCAGTTAGTCTTATAGTGTTTTTAGCGGTTATTGATATGTTTAATTCAATATTTAACACGTTTGTAATTCACTTTCAAAGTAAATGAAGTTAGCTAAAGCTAGTATGGTTGTCTCATTGAACTTTTACCTAGCTCTGTTAGCATTCACTTTGGTTTTAAATGACGGTTATTGCAAGACATGGTCTTTGTTCACTTTTTTTTATTATTATTTGCATTTTTTCTTTCTTTCTTTCTCCTTTTATTTTAAGCATTCGGCCTCTCACAGTAATGCAAGTTAAACTAGCATGCGCGAGTTGCTAAATATTAGCTGTGTCCAAATTCAGGGGCTGCATCCTTCGAATTGACTTGATCGCTAGTGCATGGGAAAAAGAGCATAAACACGAGGTCAGAGGAAAAGGCAATGGCGGATAGTTATGAAAATTGCCTGTCGGACCTTTACCGCAACTACCAGCATCTTTATTGCATAGTGTGAAACACTGCTATTACATTTGGCAACAGATTGGATATTTATCTGTGAATTTTATATTGCAAGAGGTATTTATATGTATTTGTATTTTTTTTATACATTTTTTTTTGGTTTTTTTTTGTTTTTTTGTTTTTTTTGTTGTTGTTTTTTGTTGTTTTTTTATACATTTGCAACAAAGTAAAAAAAATCCACTGGAATTTTTATAAAATAATTGTCTGTTTTCTTTACCATAGTAACACCACAAAGAAAGCTGACCCCTTTTTCTGATTGTTTGTGCCTCCTCTTTAATACATGGTAAGCCTTTTACCATCATATATTTATTATGATAGTTTTATGATTTAATCAAAGTGGAAAAAAAGGTGCCAATAAAACTATCCTTAAAACTGCTTTTCTTTTTTCTTTCAGTGACTTGTATGTGGCAGTGCAAGCGTTGTTCCATCAGGGAGAGTAGTAGGTACAAATTATTGAAACGCTGTACAGGGCTCGCAAAATCGCTTTTTCCAGTCGGGCTACCAAAATCTATCTCTGCCCTGCCCGTCCGGCTTTTGTAGGAAGGAAAAATATATGTCAATGCTTTTGCATTCTTTCGGAAATGTAGCTGGGTAATTATGTCATTGGCATCGGTGAGCCACTGTCAATATGTGACATATTGAAATCGCGTTTGAATTTGCGCTTGTTTTTTGCTTTCACTTTGCAATCGTGCGAACTGTGTATAGAGAGCGACAGGACTGATCTGTGAGTGAGGATAATTTGCGCACCAATTCCTCTGACATCGTCTTATCATGCAAGCATGACAAGTGAAATCTCCCGCAGCTTAAACATGTGAGAGGTTGATCGCGCAGAGAATCGCTGACCGTTTTGTGAGTGTGTGTGTAAAAGCAGGAAGATATATATTTCAGTTCTGCTGAGCCAAATAAGACAGGTCAGGGTGAAGAAGTGACAGCCAAAGAAAAGCTTACCACAAAACGGAGAAGTTATGACAAATCAGACTATAAGGCAAAAAGAAAGTGCAGCTTTATGGTTTCATGGACAAAAGGATTTCTGTGGCTGCAATATGACGAGCTAAATAACCAGGGCTGCACATAAGTGGTCCGCAGGTGCGCATTCGCTGTCAAAATAAAAAAACACGCACAAGAGAAGAAGTTGCAACGCGTGCTTGCATACATAAGATTTTCAGGAGGAGGACAGACATTTGTTTAGAACTCTTAAAGATGTCAAGAAGCTCCTTTAAGCAATTACTTTGGTGTTCCTCCACCTCCAAAGAAATGTCAGAAGGAGTCCGAACCACAAAAGAAGCGCGTATTCTCAGAAAAGTGGTTGAAGGAGGTGAGCTGGCTTCAAACAAATGATGAACGCACAGATGTGGTGCAGAATGTGCCGTGAAAATCCCACTCTAGCGGACAAAAACAGTGCTTTTTATATGGATGCAAACGCGCGTTGCAACTTCTTATCTGGTGCGCGTCTTTTATTTTGACAGCGAATGCGCACATGCGGACCACTTATGTGCACCCGTGTAAATAACATAATGTTCTGCCGGGTGTGTTGTTGGTTTTCCCTCGATTCCTGAGTCGACAAGCGCCTTTGTTACTGGGACCAGTAATTTTAAGAAAGGCCCCCATTAGAAATGGATTATTGCTCAGTCTGCAATATCTTTCCCAGAACAAACACCAATTGCAAATAATATACTAAAAATAAACCTGAAAAATCTGTTTAGAACAGCATACTATGTTGCAAAGAGTGAACTACCACTGGTGCAATTTAGCAGTCTTTGCAAACTTCAAAAAGCAAATGGCCCAGATCTTGGTTCCACTTGCCTCTTACTTGTGACTTTAGTGGAAATTTCAAATTCAGGATCTGACACAGACTGATTCATGTTCTACACAGACAGCACTGATGTCTGCATGGTCTTCTAAAAGCAGCTTTAGTCAGCTTAGATGTGAAGTGAGTGAAATATACAGTTGAGTTTTTAATCAATGTATTTGTTCTCTATTGCAGATTGACAAGGAGTTTCTGCGAATCACCACAAAGCCTCTGCTATCTACTTTCTTTGCCGAGCTTGACCAATACGCGCCACGCTTAATGGAAATCTTTCTGACCAAAGGAGGGACACGTGGAAAGAAAATAAGAGGTCTCATGCTTGCCATCTCCAAGGTTTGTATTAGGATTGAGTAGACTTTGTCATAGGCAGCAAAAATAACTTTTATTTGGAGATGAAGTTGTCAATTTTGTTTCAGCTTAACAAATGGTACATGCCAGGTTCTAACCTAAAGAATAATTATGCAAGTTAACTGATTACCATAGCTTTAAGAAAAACAGCCTGGTTTTGGCTCATATTATCTCCTCCTCCTCTCCAGCATGACAACATCCATACCAGACGAGCATGCATCTTGAAGTCTTTGTGCATCTACCTAAACGAAGACTATGAGAAGTTAATAAAGGAGTACTTGGTGAGTCACTGTGACAGCATGTTGACCGTAACATTCTCATACAAATTGTGACGTTGCCTCAAATGCAAATCGTTAAAATTAAAATTTTGAGATTAGCAACAAGACACCTGGTATTGGGGAAAGGATGTCTTGAATACCAAACAGTATTAAGCGTTGCAGAATTTCTGGGATTTGGTATTGGAAGGAAAGAAATTTATGCCTACTTAAACTTGATACACAAACATACAATGCATTTAACATGCATCAAGACAATATTGCTTTTGAATCTGTACTTGGATTAAAACAAGTCCTGTTGTTTTTTCATTGCTATGGTCATCAGTATTTGTAAATAGAAATGTCTATGAACTTTGAGCGGTTTAGTACTAACACTTCTATACCTGTTTTATTTTAGCAGCTGAGTTAGCCTTTTCTCGAGTCCTGTCCCCCTAAGTTACTCTTGCTACGTCCGACAAACAAATGGTTTCCTCTGCGCACCAATGGGTACCCGAATGTGCAAGCAGACATGCTTCATAATGTTCGGTACAGTTACCTGGGAATGGGGCCATACACACTGTTTAATCCATTCACGTTGTTTTTGACTTTGTGAATGGAAAGAACACAACTCCTCCAGACACAATCTCTCGGCGTATCGGTGGGCACACCGCTTCTCCATCTTGCTTGAGGTTAATGTTTGTCAGACACAGTAACGGTTGCTATAATGTGTAATTGGACAATGGCCCTTTCGGGGGAGGGCCGGTGAGAGGTCAATTATGCCACCTCTTTTGACATGAGAGGTGTATTTTATAATTTATGTATTGGAGTAATTACTAACAACTACTTTAGTGGTGTAATTTTCTGTTTATTACTTTGACTACTTGGATTTTATGAACAGCATAGAAACAGTTGTTTAAACAATCTCTTAAATTTTACTTTGTTGTCTTATATTTTTTCATGTAGGATACGGACAGCGAGGCAAAAAGCTGCATGGAGCAAACTGTGATGGGGGTGTACGTCATCCAGAAGGAGGGTGCTGAACCTGAAGATGACCCAGAGGACGTTGGTGTCGTGATTGAGGGTGTGGAGGCTAACACTGATTTGGGTAACATTGCACAAGCATGTGCTCTGTTGTTTGGACTTGTATACTGTTTGAACCTGAGCTACCCACCAGAACTTAAATGCACCTTTGAAGTCCTCCAGAAGATACTTTTAAATCTTGATGGACAAAAGCTGTCTTCAAAGGCACAGTTTCTGAAAAACAAGCTTATGGGGTGAGAGCACTTGAAAATGACTGATAGGTCTTGAATGGTTCATTGGTGCAATGGTGATTTCCAATATATAATGGTAATATTTGAGTTGTTTATATTTTTTTCTTTCATTTAAATTTTTTTTTTTAAGTTTTGGATTCTCTCTGTTGGGCAATTCACCTTTTATACAGCACTGCAGATGATTTTTGTTTGTCCTTATATAGATGGCTCAAAATGGATCAGAAGTACTGACAGAAGTACTATGTTGTGTTTATGTGTCAAGGTCCTGTAAAGTTTAAGACCACTGCCACCTGTTAAGTTCACTGTATTATTGTTTCCATTTTGCTTGCTAGCATGTTTTAAAACACAGCAAAACTATATTGCTAGCTGTGGAGGACTGCAACCAAAATTAAAAAAATAAATACAGAAATGTAAAAATTGGTCAAACTAATAATTATTTCAATGAGATACACCAAACAAATATAGATTTTCATCACCTATGGATTGTTTTGTTGTTGTACTGCCCCCAAATTATTTCTAATTATTTTATTTTTCCAAATTCACACAATAGTAATTCTATTTTGTCAGATGTTTTAACTTGCCAAGTGGGAGATGTATTTTTTATCTTTTAGTTTAATTTTTTTAAAATGCAGTCGATATATTGAGCAAATTTTGCATCTGTTTTTAGTTGTGGAAGCTTTGGTTCCAACATATTACCTATGTAAATAAGTATTCTAACGTTTTACCTTTTGAAGTGGCATAATGCTTGCAGGTGTACAAAAATGGTAAGCTTTTATATTGTCCACTAAATCCAGTTAATAAAGATAATGTTATCATAATCTGATTGTGACTTTTTTTTGTAAAGTAGTGGGTTTCTAAATGTGTAACAAATGTAAACAAATCTAATTGAAATAATTTGGTTGAAATGAGTGAAATCATTGACTTGATTAACAAAGTAGTTGTTGAAACAACAAGATTTAATTCTGTTTTCCTAAACTTTTTAAATTGTGTAGAATGAATTAAAACAAATTTCACTCTACATACTTAAATAAATCACTTCAAATCAATGTAAGTATAGTATGTTGATCCAACGTAATCTGATTACATTAAACCACCAAATGCTAAATGTGTTGGTTTGACATGATCGAAAAGGGTTTATTGTACTTGGTTAAATTGTGTGCAAAAAGGGTGCCATGATTAAATTGTGTTCATCCAACAACAGATTTTTTTGAGTGTAGTTTGCAGGTTTCTCTCTGGGTATTCTGGTTTAAAGTCATGCAGTTATTAGAGTTAGGGTTAACTGGTGATTCTAAATGACCTGTGAGTGTAGATGGTTGTTTGTTTCTATGTGATAGACTGGTCAGCTGTCCAGGGTGTACCCTGCCTTGTAACCTATCACTTCAGGGTTATTTCCCAGCCCTCCTGCAACCAGGATAAAGATAGAAGGATGGTAGTTGTTGAAGACCCATTGAATTTTTATGGTAACCAGGATCTAGACTTTGTTGAACATTATGTAATATGAAGACAGCATGTAGTATTTAAGTGACCAAGTAGTACTGGGGTAAAAGTTATTGAATAGTGTTGAAATAAAATGACAAAATTGTGAAGGATTAAAATATTCCAAGAGCTCAACTTACTTCATCTGAACATGTTTCAATCGCGTTTTATGAACACAAAATGCACAGGTTTACTGAATATGAAAAAGTTGTGTTGATTTAACTCAGTTGTTTAAGTTTCTGCCAAAGCAAAACATTTGTGTGCAACCAATGTCCACTATTGAATCAAGTCAATCCAACATGGCCTTTTTTTCAGTGCAGGCTGTAGGTAATAATTAAAGTCTGGAATATTAGCTCGCTAACAGTAGCAGCTGCATTCTCACAGAGGTGGTGCACATGGCTCTGATAAAGAGAAGTAAAAAAAACAAGAAAATACATGAAAATCTGTGTGCACTTTTGGCAGGTACACAGAGATTTTAACTATGTTCAAATGTCTGTGCAGAAACAGATTAAAAACCTGAAACACTTCAGTTGTGTTTGCTTGAAAAATAAAATAAAATAAATGAATAAATCCCAGTTTCATTCCTGAGGAGCAGAACGGGACTCTGCTCTAAGCACTCAGCGTGAGGACTGAGTGAAGAGTTATAAAGTGTTTAGAATTTGCATGTTTTCAGATATTTAATCAACTTACAGACAGAACAACAACACAGCTCTCCAACACCACCAGTGTTGCCACAGTTACTTTGAAAAAGTAATATATTACGGACTACTGATTACTCCTTCCAAAAGTAACTTAGTTACTTTACTGATTACTTTACTTTTAAAGTAACTAAGTTAGATTACTAGTTACTTTATTAGTTACTTTCAGAAGCTGCCAATAACACTCCCCACTGCCTCAACATAAAAACATCAACCGATTTTGCCAATACTCACTTTATTGGAAGTGTATTTTAACAGTAATGTCAACAATATATCTCCTGACATTTGGAGTTGAACTTAAAACTTTTTTCCTGACAGAAATACTTGTTTGTATGAAAATAAAGACAGTCTTGTTACTTCACTTAACATAAATACTTTTTATAAAAAAATAAGTCCATCCATCCATCCATCCATTCGCTTCCGCTTCTCCTTTTCAGGGTCGCGGGGGGCGCTGGAGCCTATCCCAGCTGTCATAGGGCGAGAGGCGGGGTACACCCTGGACAGGTCGCCAGTCTGTCGCAGGGCCAACACACAGAGACAGACAACCATTCGCACTCACATTCATTCGCACATTCACACCTAGTGGCAATTTGGATTATCCAATTAACCTATCCCCACAAGCTGCACGTCTTTGGACAGTGGGAGGAAGCCGGAGTACCCGGAGAGAACCCACGCAAACACGGGGAGAACATGCAAACTCCACACAGAAAGACCCCGGCCTGATGTTGGAATTGAACTCAGGACCTTCTTGCTGTGCGGCAACTCGCTGTTTTACTCGCTCCCTCCTTCCTGCATCTCTCAGCCATCGGAGTTTGAATTTTGGACAACTGGCAGCTGCAAGAAGGGCATCTTTGTCATCCAGCACACCGGCGAAACGAGTCTGAATAGCCTAAAAAACACAATTGATATTTTTTTGCCTACAATTTATTATGTTATTGAATTATTTGCAAACCATGCCTAATATGAGATCAGTATTATGGATTTATTTTGTTTTAGGTTACTTGTAAACATTTTAATTGTTTTAATCTTATTTTTCAATGATAATTAATATTCTGTTCCATGTTTGTGAATTGTATGAAGCAAAAATCTGGAAGGCCTGCAGTCATCCTGGAGAGGTCATCTTTCACAGCCTGGGTCTTCTGCATCAGAACTTCAAGTGTTGGTAGTAAAGTTCCATATGGACAGTCGCCTTGTAAAATGTCCAGTGCTGCAGTCAGAGGTTTCATGGCCATGCAGTACTCATGCAGGAACTGGTATTCTTGATCTTTGAAGCACTTCAGTCCTAGCTTTGTGCACAGAGTATTCAGCTCAACCATGGGGATTTCTGCAATTCTCTTTACAGCATCAAAAAAGGAATTCCACCTTGTGGATGTTGGTATTAGGAGCTTTCTTTTGCTGATTTCTTCCACTGTTTCTGATGCAAGTGTAGATCTACTCGATTTGGTCCAAAGAGCTGTGCATTTTGCTGTGCTGCTCCTATACACAGCCCTGCTCTCTGCATTGGTTGTTAAATGTTTCTCCACATCACGTGTGCAAATTATGTTGATGGTGTGCGAAGCACACCTGCGGTGCGGGGGAAGAGACAGATCAGAAAAAGTGACATCGTCTTTGGGGCTGGACTCTTCCTCCTCCGTCTCATCATCGGACTCCGTGACAGGATGATAAACTTGAAACGCCTTAACAAAGTTGGATCCATTATCAGTAACTGTTGCAACTACTTTGTTGAGTAATCCATAAGAGGAGTGGATGTTTTCGATTTCTGTACCAATGACATCATACGTGTGTCTACCACGAATTCGCCTACATGCTAATGCAACCTTGTGACGCTCTAATGTGGTTCTACTGATCCAGTGGAGCGTTACTCCCATATAGCTTCTGTTGTTAGCAGTCCAAATATCCGCGGTAGTTGAAACAAAGTCAATCTCATTCAGTGTGGCCTTCAAATTTCTCTCCATTTCTGTAAACTCCTTCTCCAAGTAAGAAGTAAAAGTCGTTCGGTGAGGCAGTAGGGATCTTTTTTATTATGGCACGAAACAAGGGCGAGTCAACAGTGTTTATAGGTAGCATTTCTTCTACAATATACTGCGCGACCAACTTCATCAATTCTTCATCACTTACTGGTTTTGCACCAAAGTCCAACTTTTGTTGTTTGGGGGGTGTAGGACCTTCTGCGGAAGTCACGGCTCTCTGCTTCGGACCACTTGGTGGGACTCTCTCTGTGAGCTTGACTGTGCTGTGCTGCGACTCCAAATGTTTCTTTAAGTTTGACGTAGTGTTTTTGAAGGTAGATAACACTTTTTCGCCAACACAGAGTGTACAACGAACCTTAATATTTAAATCTTTAGTTGACAGAAACTCAAAATAGTGACCATATTTCCAGCTAAAGAACGAACATCTCTCTCCCTCCATTGTTGTTTACACTTTTTTACGTCGCTGGCTGCTTGTGAGCGGGAAACGTGACCTGTCACTTATGTGACGTTTCACGACACGTATGCGTTTGTCATCCGCTGAGACGAAAAGAAGAAACCAAATCTTTTTGCTTAAAAAAAATAGTAACGCACAGTGGTTTGGACAAGTAACTTTAATCTGACTACTGTTATGGAAATAGTAACGCGTTAGATTAGTCGTTACTGAAAAAGTGGTCATATTCGGAGTAACGCGTTACTAAGCAACGCGTTACCGGCATCACTGAACACCACTGACCAGTGAGACAATTAATGGGAGCAAAGAGCAGAAATTAATTTTTGACTCCTACAGTTTATAATAATGTGCATTACATGGAAAACAGGAAAAGACAGCAGCGTTTACATGTGTAAGGCAACTCAATTATTTTGTAACTGTAGGTGTAACACCCCTTTCTAAACTTGGGATACAGATTTGAATGTTGTGCTGGGCCAACAGTTAATGTTTGACTGCTGGAGCAAACTGAGTGACTAATGAAACGCTCTGAGAAC